CCGAGACCCCCCCCGCCCCCGGGCCCCCCCCCAGCCCCCCCCCCGGCCCCAAACCCACCCTTCCACACCCTCCAAGGACGGAGCCCGAGCAGCCGAGCGGCGCTGCACCGCCAGGCTGAGGTGGGAGGCACGCGATCCTCGGAGCCTGCGGACACAGACTCAGAGGAAGGTCGTGGGGCACCGGGGGCCTGGCGCCAGCCCGCCCGCTCCTTGGGGCATCTGATCCTTGTCGCCCCTCGCCCCCTGCCCAGCCCAGCCGACTGGTGCTGGGTTCGTTCTAGGCCCGGGCTGAGCGGCGCGCGGCGCGCAGTGGCGCCCTCAAGCGGCAGCAGAAGTCGGACCCACCCTCGAACCCTATGCGCCCTGCGCTCCTCGGGTCCGCACCCGGCGTCGGGTCGGGGCCCGGGCTGGGGCCGAGGCTGCGGCTGCAGGGACCGGAGTGCAGTGAGGCAGTGAAACCAGCAGGGGGGGCCGCTCTCTGGCCCGAGAGGCTCTGAGAGTCCGGAGCCCAACGATCGGTGCCTCTGGCCAGCAGAGGGCGTGCTCCCTTGGCCGCGCCCCCTCCTCCTCACCGCCCCTCAGGTGCGGGGAGGGTACCGGAGTTGGTTAGCTTGGTGCTTGGTCACCTCCTCCTGCAGCCTCCCAGGCACCCGGACCTTGTTCTACCGTCTGGGCTCAAAGTCTTCCGCCCGTCCGCCTCTGTGGCCCGAGTCATCCTCCCCATAACCTTTGACTCCGCCTGTGCCGCTTGCCAGGATTTAGACGCAGCAGGAAAGGTCTCCTAGACTGGAACCACCACCTCGGCCATCACCTGGGTGCAATCGCCCGGCAGCTGAGGGACGTGACACCACCCACCACCCCACCCCGTCATCTTTCTCATCAACTCCCTGAGAAATTCCTCCTTCTTAAATCCCATTGGCGCACAGCTCTGTCTTCCAGAGGACCTCGGTGCTACCCTTAACTGGCTGAAAAAAAGATACGCATATCCTAATCTCTGGAACCTGTGACTACTACTGTAAGTGGCACGGGCTTTGCAAAAGGTCTTTGCAGATGTGCATGTGGCCTTAGGCAAACCTCTCAAGAGATACTTCATCCCGTATCTACTTCAATAACATTTTTGGAAAAAAGAGGGAAAGTAAAATAATAACAAAGTGCTTTGTAAGTCCTAAAGAGTCCCACACATTAAAGGCTATTAGAAATGCTCCCAGGAGAAGGAATATATTTAAAGAAGTAAAGCCTGTCTCATTTACACCTTAGTGTGAATTAATTTATATACATTCTTTTAACAAACATTTCCAGCAGAAACCAACAATGCCCCTGAGATTCAACAATGAGAAGTCCACCACATGCTGAGTGCCTGAGGGGAAGGGGTGGATCCAAAGATAAGTACTGAATAGTTTGTAGAGTCAACACTTAAGCATGGGGTCTGAGTTCTGAATGCTGCCAGAGAGAAGAGGGACCTGTGGGGGACAATAGGAAGGGGTCTGAAGGAGTGGGGGCCCTGCGGAGGCTGCTTTGGAGGCCTCAGGATCCAGGTGATGGCATCACTGTTACTATGGCTAAAGAGAGGAGGCAGGGTTACAGATGCACTTTAATAAAGAAATAAAGAATAAATATAGGAAGAGGGTGGGGGAGAGGTTCCATTGTTTAATTTTTGCATAATGCTAAAGAGTGGCTAGACATTTACATGCACGCACATGCGCTGGGTTTAAGTTTTAATCCATCGCCATCGACTACATGGGAGTCCAGAGACATAGCCATTACGCTAACTGCTGGTCCCTTATTTCTTGAATTCTGTTTCTCTGTCTCTGGCAAGCACACACCCTATAGCAAAAATCTCTCTCTCTTAAAAAAAAAAAAAGAAAGAAAGAAAGAAAGAAATTTCCAAGAGCTAAAAGATGAGGGGGACCAGCAGTTAGCGTAATGGCTATGTCGCTGGACTCCCATGCAGGTGACTGCGGTTCAAGTCTTGGACCCAGTGGCTTAAACTCATGCCAGGCGCGTGTGCGTGCATGCCCAAGATCCAGAAAAAAGACTAGAGGAGAAGGGATTGCAGCGGCATGGCCATACCCCTGGGGGGTGATTTCTCGCTTTCTGTCTCTCTGTCTCTCTCTCTCTGGCGAGCGCACGTGCCCTGTAGCAAAAACCTCTCCAAAAAAGAAAAAAAAGATGAGGGACAAGGGATGTGGGGAGAAACACTAGAATAGCAGTCAATAGTCCGGTTATAGTCCTGGGCTATATTAGTTCTAGAGGCCTTGGACAAATAACTGAACACCTCTGAGCCTTGGTTTCTTTGGCTGAAACTCAAAACTCGTCCTATTTCTCTTTCCAGGACTGTTTTAAGAGCTAATGAGATAATATGAGGATTTTTGTTTGTTTGTTTTGCTTTTGACAAAGGGCAAGTGCGCTCACCAGAGAGACAGAGAGATAGTGAGAGGAAAAGTAAGAAATCAGCCCTGGGGGTTGAGGGAGGATGGCCACATTGCAATCCCTTCTCCACTCTCCTCCTTGGATTTTGGGCACGCACATACATGCACCCAGCATCATTTTCAAGCCACCCAGTCCAGGACTTGAACTGCGCTGTGGGCCATGTGGGAGTCTACCACCTTACCCACCACACTACCTGCTGGCCCCAATATGAGGAATTTTTAACATTCTTGAGAACAGTTCCATTTGACCAAAATTAATTAGAATCCATTCCTTTGGAACCTGGGTGCTATGCTTTGAATGTGCCTCTCTCGTAAATTTATGTATCAAGATCTGGTTCCTAACGTGATGATATAAAGAGGGTAGAAACTTAATCTGACTATTGCGTTAAGAGGTGACGGGGGTCCAGGAAATTGCAGTGACTGAGGCACTAGATCCCCCACATGGCTGACACCATGGTTCAAGTCTTGGGCTCAGTGGCTTGAAAAACTTGCTGGGGATGTGTATATGGGTATCTAAAATCCTTACAGGAGAATGAAGAAGGGATTGTGGGGTTTAATTTTTCATCTTCCCTCTCTCTATGTCTCTGTTTCTCTCTGAAAGTACACACAGCCTATAGCAAAAATTGAAAATTAAAAGAAGTGATTAGGATAAGATCATTGGGGTGTGACCTCTATGATTGAATCCTGGTGGCTTTATAAAAAAAAATGGAGGGCCAGCAGGTGGCATGGTGGTTGGGGCACTGGATTCCCACATGGCCGAGTGGGGTTCAAGTCCTGGGCCTGCCACTTGGAATTCACAACAAATGAACAGATAAATAAATTAATAAATGTTAAAAAAAAAAAAAGAAAAAGCAAATGGACACAGACATAGATTTTGCCCTCTTGCCATGTAATGCCCTGAGCACTCTCTGTGAAGTCCCTATCAAGATGTGGCCCCCTGACTTTGACCCTCCAAAACCATTATTTACATAAACCTCTATTCCTTACTTTTTTTTTTTTTTTAGAAGTTTTTGCTATAGGGCTCGCCAAAAAGAGACAGAGAGACAGAAGTCACCCCCCAGGGTTGGCCACGCACAAGTAAGCTACTAGGTCCGGGACTCGAACCACCGTTGACCACATGGGAGACCAACGACATAGCTATTAAGCCAACTACTGGTCCCATTAAATTTCTATTCCTTACAAGTTACCAGTTTGTGGTATTCAGTCCTTAAGCATTAGAGAACAGGCTAAAACACTGGAGTGAAGGCAGTGGTGACCTTTAGATACTGCTTTTCCAAAAATAATCCCCCTCAGAATGTAGGAGGTGAGAAGCATGAAGGGTTGGAGGTGGAGGAGGGGTCCAGCCAGGGTGGGTCCTTGGTGGATGTGCGTGGGCGACTGTGTATGTGTGTGTCCATCAGTTGGAGAAGTGCAGCACCTGCGTCTGTTTCTGTTTCTGTATATGTGAACAGGGTGTGAACAGGGAGGGACACGGGTAAGTGTGTGGAATGTCCCTGCCCTACTACTGACAAGTCTTTTGAACTTCGTAGGTCTTCATTTCCACATCTCAGAAAGGAGATAATGTGATGGTTGGGATTTGATTTCAAATACTCCAACAAAATACTAGGGGACTTCAAAAAGTTTGTGGAAAAATGGAATGGGATTAATTATGAGTTCATTTTGGTGCAAAAAAATGACACTCATGCATCTTTTTTTTTTTTTCTTTTTTTGGTAATACGTTTTCCATGAACTTGTTGAAGACTTCTCATACAAAAAAAGATATTGGAGGTAGAGATGAAACAAGACTGGCTGTGAGTTGATAATGGTTGAAAGACGCGATGGTACCTTGGGAGCTGATGGTACTATTTTTCTCTGCTTTGGGACAATGGTTGACATTTTTCATAATAAGCCACTTTTTCAAATGAGTGGGGGGTGCAATAGTAGCTTTCCTGTGCAAGTACAATGAAAACCAAAGGAGAAATGACAGTAACAGCCATGGCTGAACGGCAATGTTTGCCACGCACTTAGGAGCTACCAGGCGCCCAGGACTTTGCCTGGTGGGTTCCTTTAGATTCTAATGCGACTACACAGGAGTGCCTACAAGTAAGGGAATCCCTCGCCTTCCAGCAAACCCCTCCCCTTTCTCTCCGCCCTCACAGCCCCTCCCTCCGAGGAAGCGCCGGGCTGGGGCCCAGCAGGTGTGGGGTTAAGGCGGTCTGTTTGGGGCCCCAGGAACAGCAGCAGCAGCAGCAGCAGCAACTGCAACAGCGGCGGCTGTGGCAGCCCTGGCCCCGGGCCAGCTGGCGGGGAGCCCCAGGAGGGAGGGAGGGAGGAGGAAGAGGGGAAGGAGGAGGAGAGGAGCAGTCAGCAGGCCCGAGGAGGCAGGACTTCCTGGTGTGGGGGTTGTCAACAGCCCAGAAAGAGAAAGACAGAGAGACAGAGACCCAGAGGAGCTGAGAGGCAGAGAGACAGAGTCAGCGGAGCTACGCGGAAGAAGACTTGAAAGACCCACTCGTCCATACCACCTGGAGCAGCAGGGGTCAGAGTCGCCCCCTCCCACAGCGGTCGGGAGATCCTTGGGGCTTCAGAGGCGCGCCTGGGCTCCACCGAGGAGGCGCGGGTTCCTTCTTTTCTGGAGAGCAAACTTTCCACGGAGATGCCTCGCAGGGTGAGGTGTGGCCCCCAAAGAGGACTGCGCAGCCTCTGATCGCCGCCTGCCTGCCCCGCACTGCCCGGGGCCAGGAGGCCCCAGGGAAGGACAGCCCGACATCTTAGGCGCTGGGACCCCCCCGGCTCAGCTTGGGGGCCGAGGCCCAAGAGGTAGGGCTCTGGGCTGGGCGGGGCGCTCCGGGCGGCCGGGCAGGGCCTGCCCCAGGGGTGTGGGAGCGGGTTGCTGGGGCTTGGAGGCCCGTCTGAGGGGTCCGGTGGCCGGGCCAGGCCAGGCGCTGCTTCCCTCTGGTTCATTCAGGCTCTGGAGCCTATGCTCTGGGGACAGGTCGGTTCGGTGCCTTTGAATACCAGGCAAGAAATGTCCAACTTTGTGTCTCAGCTGCCTCTTCCTGTTCTGTGCGCCCTCTCGGATCCTGTCTCCTCTGCTCTGATCTCTGTCATCTCTGTCTGTCTCTTTGTCTCTGGGCCTCTGGCGGTTTCCCCTTCCTCCCCCCTTCTGCTCCCCAGAGAGGAAGCCCCAGAGGTGGCCTGCCCACTGCTCCTGCGCGCGCACTCTCTCACTCACTCCCTCTCTCTCTCTCTCTCTCTTTTTCCAGTTTGCAAACTCAGCTCTGGAGTTCAGCAGAGACAGCAGCAGGAAAAACCTGCCCCTGATCCCCCTTCCCCCCACCTCCCCTACCCTATTCTCCCTTCACCAACCAGGCACCCCCAGTTCCCACAAGGCCCTTGCGCCATGTCGGACCCAGACGTCCCTAGGGGCCATGATGCCCCCGCCATGTGGCCCCCCTGTTCTAGGGGTGCTTGAGCCCCTTCAAGGAGCCCCAGCCTCCCACCCCCACCTCGGCCCAGTCCTGAGCCCCAGGGACCATGAGTGGGGGCAAGAAGAAAAGTAGTTTCCAAATCACCAGCGTTACCACGGACTACGAGGGCCCAGGGAGCCCCGTGAGCCCTGGGGGCTCAGAGCCCCCTGTCCCACCGGCCCCTACTGGGCCCCTGCCCCGCCTGCCAAATGGGGAGAGCCCCAGCCTCCCACCCCCACCTCGGCCCAGTCCTGAGCCCCAGGGACCATGAGTGGGGGCAAGAAGAAAAGTAGTTTCCAAATCACCAGCGTTACCACGGACTACGAGGGCCCAGGGAGCCCCGTGAGCCCTGGGGGCTCAGAGCCCCCTGTCCCACCGGCCCCTACTGGGCCCCTGCCCCGCCTGCCAAATGGGGAGCCAAACCCTAACCAGGGGGGCAAGAAGAAAAGTAGTTTCCAAATCACCAGCGTTACCACGGACTACGAGGGCCCAGGGAGCCCCGTGAGCCCTGGGGGCTCAGAGCCCCCTGTCCCACCGGCCCCTACTGGGCCCCTGCCCCGCCTGCCAAATGGGGAGCCCAATCCTGACCCAGGGGGCAAGAGCACCCCCCGGAATGGCTC